CAATCCAGGCCTCTTCTTCTTCTTCTTTTTTTTTTTTTTATATTTATTTATTTATTCCTGATAGAGAGAGAGAAAGAGAGGCAGAGACACAGGCAGAGGGAGAAGCAGGCTCGGGAGCCCGACGTGGTACTCAATCCCGGGATCCCAGGATTCCAGGATCACGCCCTGGGCCAAAGGCAGGCACTAAACCACTGAGCCACCCAGGGATCCCCCAATCCAGGCCTCTTCTAAATCTTATTAGTCCTCGCCCCTTACCTTTTTATTTAGGTCAGTCAGAGTCCGTTCACTTCCCTCATCTTCAAAGGAGTCCTTCCCATTTCCTCTCAGGCCTCAACCTTCTCTCAGTCAAAACAGGTACACCACTAATCTCTCCAAAAGGATTATGTCCCAGGAAGGAATCAAAAGAAACATAGTTTTCTGCCAATTTTGGTAGAGTATTAAGAAAGGAAGGGGATGGTTGGAGAGTTATTAAATTACCACTCATTTCCTGATGTCTATTCAGTTAAAGAATCTGGTTCCTGTAACTTTAGAAGTCAGGCTTGAAAGGAGACCTGGCTTTGTTGTAGTGTCTACATGCACAGCCTAGACCAGGGGGGCAGGAGCCTCAATGCAACAGCATCATACTGGAGCTCCGCCCACAACTGTCTCCATAATTCACCTGGAGGCCAATCAGGCAGGCACTGCTTTATATCTGGCATCTCTCCTCTTATTGCCTTGAAGAAATTAAGTACTCTGGTGCCAGTTTTAGTCTATTATCTCAAACTACTAGTCTTCATTATGTCATCCTGTCCTCAGTGTGCCAATAAACATATTTCATACACTTCTCTTTCTTCTCAATTTCCCTCCCCATCCTAATTATTTTTTTTAAAGATTTATTTATCTATTCATGATAGACACACACAGAGAGAGAGAGAGAGAGAGAGAGAGAGAGAGGCAGGCAGAGACAGAGGAGGAGGGAGAAGCAGGCGTCAGCCATGCCGGGAGCCTGACATGGGACTCCATCCCGGGAGACCAGGATCGCGCCCGGGGCCGAAGGCAAGCGCTAAACCGCTGAGCCACCCAAGGATCCCCCCATCCTAATTATTTAGCAACCAATCTTGACCAAACCACCTCATACAGTAGTCTCAAATGTAATATTTATATCTTAAGGATTACTTGAGTGGGGAAAAAAAAAAAAAGAACTTGAGTGGACTTGCTTAAAGTAAGTTAAAAGGCAGCTCCTAGTCCCTTCCAGAGGGTTTCCTTAAGACCTCAGGTAAAGCCCAGGCATGCAGGTTTAATAAGCACTGCGGGGGATTCTGTGCAGGTGGCCCATATACTAGTCTTCTGAAATATAGTTCCTTAAAACAAGGTAGGTTTTGCTGTGGCTGCTGCTGCTACTGTGTTTACTGAGGGGAAAGGGAGATAAAGGAAGAAATGAGAAAGGAAAAAGCAGACATTTTAAAGAGCTCCCTCTCCCCTATTTAGGTTGTAATTAAGGTATAAAATCTTCATTTTTTTTAAAGTGTGGACTTTAGGACTGTAACACTAATCCTATAAACACTTAATTCCCCACTAAATAAATGCCTTTCTCCACTCAAACCCAACGTTCCCTAAAGATTTTCAGAAGCCTCCATTTAGCCCCAAATGTGGGCAACAGTTGGCTGGAAATTCAAACATTTCAAACTAGTAGTCCTTACTTTGTTGTGTCTCTTCTTCCATTTCTTAGTACTCATTAGAAACCAATGTTAAATGATATAAAGGAGAGTGACAAGCTTACTTAAAAATGATGTGCTAAATGACTTTATTTTAATTAAGACTTGGGTGGTGTACTTCTCAATCTTGACATTGTATCTCACTAAATGTCTGAAATTAACTACAATCGTATGGATTGAAAACATCAATCATACTAATAAAAGTGGATTCAAAGCTTATAAAAACTGATTCTTTTCATTCCCACTGATGCTAAAACCAGAACTATTTGTAGAATTTAAATAAAGGTCAAGTGCACGTATAACTTTTTAAGTGGAAATTTATGACACAGGTGGAGAAAACAGATCAGACATAAAGTAATATTAATAAGCCTTTGTTTCATCTTACTTGAAACTCAAGCTAAAAGCCTTTTTATCCTTTAATTTTTAATTTTCCATTAATTTGCTCTGTGGGACACCTGGGTGGCTCAGTGGTTAACTGTCTGCCTTTGGCTCAGGGTGTGATCCTGGAGTCCCGAGGACTGAGTTCCACATCGGGTTCCCTGCATGGAGCCTGCTTCTCCCTCTGCCTGTGTGTCTGCCTTACTTTCATGAATAAATAAATAAATAATCTTAAAAAAAAATTGTTATTTGTCTTTGAAGTCTATCTCCATTTCCTATTCCATTACCCATTCTTTAAAAATGGTAAATAAGAATCTTTTAGGAGAAAAGGTAGTAAATAAAAATGCAAATTGTGAATATTCTTCCTAAACATGCACATATCTAGACTTTTACATTTAACGGAGGCCTCAGGTTTACCTCTAAGAAGGTAATGCTCAAGTATGAGTTCCATTTCTTAAAAATTACACAAACAAGAACAAAATGATAATCAGTAAAAAAAAAAAAATAGAGCAAAAAAGCATCAAGGTGATGAGATTATGATGCTTTTTAACCTGCTAACCAACCACACTTGATGGAGAACAACATCCCCCTTGGGTATCCTCTCAATCCTGCAGCTGTCTCCAAGCACTCTGCCGGTACCAGGGCCATGACTCATCCACCCCACGGTGCCTGGTCCTACCGGAGGAGTGCCACCACGCTTGCCACCAGCCAAAGAAAGGACTTCTCCCTTCCCAACTGTTAACTCCGGGCTAGAAAAGAGATAACTGGGGATCCCTGGGTGGCGCAGCGGTTTGGCGCCTGCCTCTGGCCCAGGGCGCGATCCTGGAGACCCGGGATCGAATCCCACGTCAGGCTCCCGGTGCATGGAGCCTGCTTCTCCCTCTCCCTCTGCCTATGTCTCTGCCTCTCTCTCTCTCTCTGTGTGTGGGACTGTCATAAATAAATAAAAAAGTCAAAAAAAAAAAAAAAAAAGGAGAGATAACTGAAGGGAAATAAACTCACTGGAGAAACTTGCAGGTTGCTCTCCCCAGGGCCCTGGGGCATCTGGGTTTCCCTCCCAGAGAATTAAAGAGAAAGATGATAGGGGATGGACAAAGATAGGCATTTCCTGATCCCCTTTTCTCAGTTCTTAAAACGACTCACTTTCAGCAGTTCACACGGCCGCTAAATATCTTTTAAAGTTTTTAGACTGGCTAGAAGGGGCAAAAGGAAGGCAGAAGAGAAAACAAATTTTCCGAACACGTGTCTTAAAAGACAAGAAGTTGCGTATTTCCTTCCAAGCCTCTCCGGCTCTGAATTTACCCGCCGACCCATCGAGCCCCCCCGACGCGCCAGCTGGCCGCTGGGTGCGTCTCGGAGGTTTTCAGGGACCCACGCGGTGCGGGGCTGTTCGCATCCCCGCCGGCCCCGAGGGGGGCCGCGAGCTCGGCGGCCAGAGCTCACCGCCCGAGCAGGCGAGTAAACAACACGAATGCCCCTCGCCTACCTTCAGGGTTGGACCATGGCCGCCTACGTTCCGCCGCTTCACGAACACCACGGGCACGTCGGTCTCCGAGGTCAGCTCCCAGAGCGCTAGTTCCAGGCCCCGGGCGTCCTCTGCGACACAAGAGCAGACGCGGACCCGGGTCAGCCCCGCCGGCCCGGCGGCGGCGGGAAGCGCGCGGCGGGGGCGGGGCTTGGGCGCCGGCAGCAGCGCAGCCCGGGGCTGCCCCCCGCTGCCCCCCGCCACGCCCTCTCCGCCCCGACCGCCGAGGTCCGCCCGCGGGGCCGGGGCCGGGGCCGGGGCCGGGGCAGGCGCTCCGAACCCCGAACCCCGAATCCCGAATCCCGGTAGGTCCCAGAGCGCACGCCGCGGCACCTCCGCTCTGTCAACCGCCTCCCTCCCCTCTGTAATGCGCCTCTGAACTCTACTTCTGCCCAGAGTACAGAGCCGACTTCTCCGGTTTCTTTCAGATTCGAGACCACGAGGCAGGACTAGGAACACGCTGCCCTGTCAGAGCGCTTCAGTCCGGGACCTGGCAGCCGCACGGCAACGCCTCGCCTGACAAACCGGGAGCTAATGGCCCAATTTTACGAACGGGTGAACTCCGGTGAGGGTGTGAGTCAGCGCCCGAATTAAAAATAGACTCCAGTTACGCTCACCTCAGCGGAAACCGCACCGACACCCCCAAGTGCGGCGGGCTGACGGCGGGCTGACGACAATAATGGCAGCCGGCCCTCCCCTGGGGACACGCATCTCCGCCGCGGTCCCCCAAGGACGTCCACGCAGGCAGAGTCAGGCGCGGAGCAGCTCACGCGCCCGAGCCCAAGAGGCAGGGGAGTCCGCCGCAGGGTAGGGTTCGACCCCAGGGGGCCGGCGCGCCCCCTTCGCCGCCACCCTGTCCTGCCGACGACCGACCCACGCGCCGGGTCCCCCTCGCAGCCGTCGGGTTCGGTCTGGGGCAAGTCACGTGATTCCAAGCCTCGGTTTCCCCGCAGGTAAACCGGGAGGTGCAGACGATTTGCCAACTCGGGATTTCCGGGGAAATCTTAAAGAGGCCTCTGTGGATCCTTCTACTCCCTTCGCGCTGTCGAGGGTCGGCCCGGTCGCGCGGCGCACTGGCACCCACGGCCCCCACGGCCCCATACTCGCGCAGTAGGAACCGCTACAAACCCCTTTCTTCCCGTCGCTGCTCGGCGGCTCTACGGGCAGCTGGCGGAAGGAGCCGCCAGGCCGACCGGGGGCAGTGCGGCCTCCCCCCGCCCCGGGCAGGCTCCCGCCGCCCCCGCGCGGCCACGAAGGCGGCCACGCGGCTCACCGCCCGAGGAAAGCTTCGCCCCTGCTCGGACACACACACCTCAAGACGTCGCCCCTTTCCCGGACCCAACCCCCACCCCCGGCCTCAGGGCCCAGGGCCCCGCCGCTCCGCCCGGCTCCCGCGAACCCACCGCTGGCGTGAACCCGAGCGCCCGGCCCCCAGGCTCTCCTCGCGGGCGGCTCCCCGGCTTCGGCTCCGGGCCCGGCGGACTGTGGCTCGGCGAGGCGGAGACGGCGGGCTCCCCGCGGCCGCGAGAAACCACGCCCTGCTCGGAGCGGGCGGGGCCTCCGGAGTCAGAATGACAAAGCAGAAATCCACTCCCGTGCCGCTCTGCGGACCCAGCCGACGGGCTCTGCGGGCTGGGACCTCCTAATTGGGCGACTCCACCTGCTCTTCCTGCTCACAGCGCCCCCAACCCGACAAAGGAGCGAAAACAACGTGAGGAATGTTTGGAACCGGAACCCGGAGGAGAGTGGTTAAAGCACCACACAAACCCGGCTCTGCCCTAAGGCAGTGACTCCGGAACTTTGCTGCCCAATGCAATCGCGAGAGGATCTTTAAAAATACCGACGCCTCGTCCCCACACCCAGACACTCCGAGGTCATGGGTGGTGGGTGCGACCCAGGTATCTGAGGGTTTTGTTTGGTTTTTTGGTTTTGTTTTGTTGTCGTTTTTTAACTCCCGGGGTGATTCTCGTGAACAGCAAAGTTTGGGACCCAATGCCCTAAGGTAACAGATTAGTCAGTCTGGCAGTTCCCCAAAGGAAGTTATCTGTCAGGCTTTTAGAAGAAACATCTAAGTCATGCCGAGTAATCCTGAAAAGTGACAAATTCCCACCAACACTTAACTTCCCCTTCTAGCCTTCCTCTTTAACCCACTCAGGTTTTGATTTGTTCTGTTTGTTTTCGGGAAAACAATACGTAAAATCGACTCGAGCCATGCCAAACCACCCGCAGCTGCCCTGGTGGGCCGTGCTCTCTCATACTTCCTGCTTAGTCATATTCTTACTCAGCACCTTGCTTCAGTAGGTAGCTAGGAATATTTGATGAATAAATAAATGCGTGAACGAATGTCTCTCCCCCTTCTTTGGATACTGACAAACTGAAGCGCACTGGAGTGAAAGGACTTGATTTCTTAAGGCTAGGAGAAGACACGCCTTCTCTGAAGTGGCAGGCAACCACAATTTGCTCCTGTGAGTGCATTCCCAGGCACAAGTTGGAGGTTTGGTATACAGCCTCTCAGCGTCTGCACATTTGTGCACGTGTGCAAACACACACACGGCGTATATAAATGGGCACTCTCCCTGCATGGTGGTTGCTCACCTAAGTGCATGCCTCACCTGTTCTGGGGTCCTTTGAACAGAGAATGGGTCTAGCACAGGTGTTTGGGAAACAATGTGATGTAAGGAGCAAAGGATGAATAATGAGAAGGCAAGAAACCCAGGACTCCAAAGTAGAAAACATTTCCTCCTGGCTGCTGTGCCCAGCTCTGTTAACCGTTTTATATACCTTAGCTCATTTAATCTACACAATAATGATCCATGAATCAGGGTCATAAACTTCTCCCTAAAATGCATATAAACTACAGCTTCTTACAAAGGTATGTCTCAAGATAGAGAGGAACTGTAAAATTATTTAACTTGAAATAATGTACTGAAAGCATGTGATAAAGATTGATTTCTATGAAACTCATATCAGGTCAGAGCTGCTATAGTTCATATCTCCTAACAGCATATCAAAAAAGCATTTTAACTTCACACTGTTATTAAGTGAGAAAATTATAGCACAAATACCTACAATAGCTCCATGTAGCTTTTTTTAAGTTAGAAAAAAAATCACCATTTTTTAAAACCTTCACTTTCAAACCTTTTTTTGTGCAGTGAAGGGCCCCGATGCCTCACCCTTGTCACAAAACACGGAGAACTCCTTAGTTATACTTAGTTTCTGGGTAGTGGAAGAAGTGCTTCATCATCTCCCACCATTTCTCATCATGCAGCACTTTGTTCTAGACATAACTCTTTCATCTCTTGACTGAGCTCTTGTTATTCCCACGGCCTAAAATAATCTCCCTCACTAAGGCCTACTCCTTCAAAGCTCATCTGAAATGTGACCTCTTCTGGGAGGGCTTCCCAGATTCCCACTCAGTGTTGATAGCTCCTTCCCTATCCTGGGATCCCAAATACCCAAAAGTAATTGTAAATCATGTAAATCCAAGAGGGCTTTGGGAAGGCAAACCCTTGTTTAATTTACCCTGTCTTCCCAGAACCTGCTATACATAGTAACTTACTCAGGAAAGGCTGGAAAAGACCCTCTATGTTGCTGAGCTGTCCCATAAACACAGTATAAACAGATCTATGCAGGGTCCTTATTGCATTAAACTGCTGTTCTTCCTATAATAAGTTTCCCTCTCACACACATATACCACCCTGAGCTAAAACAATGTTTCTGACACTCAAATCTTCTCTGTTCAAAACTTGTCACTCTCTGGGGCACCTGGGTGGCTCAGTGGTTGAGAGTCTGCCTTTGCCTTAGGTTGTGATCCCAGGGTCCAGGACCCCAGGGATTAAGTCCTGCATCAGGCTCCTGGTAGGGAGCCTGCTTCTCCCTCTGCCTATGTCTCTGCTCTCTCTCTCTCTCTCTCTCTCTCATGAATAAATAAAATCTTAAAAACAAACAAAAACAAACAAAAAAAAAAACTTGTCACTCTCTAGAACCCTCAAAACAAATTCCAAGCTCCTCAATTGTACTGACTTGGCAAGGCCCACCCTTGTTAAACCTTGCTGTCCATATATTCTGTACCCTACTTATACAGCAAAAGATTGCTGGAGAAAACACAGAAATTAAAAGTGATTTCACTTCAGAGTCAAGAGTGCAAATGTCAGCAAGTCTCCAAAGCTGCCCAGCAGTGCTTTGCATCTGTGATATGTTTTCCTAGTTTCCAAAGTAAATATTTCATACTTACTCCTTTTTTTTCTCAAACCTCTAATACACCTACTCTTTGCCATTAACTCATAATCTGCTAATTTAAGAAAATAGAATCAATCAGACAGAACTCCCTCCCATTTTCCTCTGAATCACCACGCTGCCATATTCTCTACCTTTGCCCCTGTTTTATTTTTATTTTATTTTTTTTTAAAAGGTTTTTTATTTATTTATTTACGATAGTCACAGAGAGAGAGAGAGAGGCAGAGACACAGGCAGAGGGAGAAGCAGGCTCCATGCACCGGGAGCCCGATGTGGGATTCGATCCCGGGCCTCCAGGATCGCGCCCTGGGCCAAAGGCAGGCACCAAACCGCTGCGCCACCCAGGGATCCCTTTGCCCCTGTTTTAATGAAGGCCAACTTCTCCACTTGTGTACAGATTCTCATCTTGTCTTGCCTTCTCGATCTTTAATAATTTCACTACTGAAATTAGCCTCTCTCTGGCATCATCAGATTCTTGTTCTCTGCCTGATCATTCTATCATCAAATATACTGTAGTTTTTCCATTAAAAAAAAAAAAGCCTCCTGTGATCCCATGTTTACTATCCCATAGTTACTATCCCATTTCATTGTTCCCCTTCCCTGGGTGGGGGAGAGGGGGAATACTGTCTTGAAAGAATCCTTTCTACCCTGAAGAAGAAGAAAGTAGAATATGGAAGTCAGGAAAGATTGAAGAATATGGCACTTGAGTAGAGACCTAATGAAAAGAGGGAACAAGACTTTTTAAGAGGGGAGAAATCTTTCTAAGCAGAGGAAATACGAAGAACTAAAGTCCTAAGCTGGGAGCCTGCTTGACTTGTCCAAAGATCTGCAAGGGAAGCAGTGTGAACAAGGAAAAAAGTGGTAGATAATGAAGCCAGAGGAGTAACCAGGGGTCAGAACCCAAAGGCCGTAGGACTTTGGATTTCATTCTAGTGTGATAAACCAAAGCATCACAAGAGAGGACAAGGAAATCACCTAGTTTGTGTCTTAAAAGGATTGCTCTGCTGTGTGGAGAATAGACTAAGGTGGAATGATGGAGCACAGACTAGCTAGGAAGTTGCTGTGGTAGTCCAAGCTAAAGATGATGAAGGCTTGGATTAGGGGGTGGGAAGAGATATTTGAAGGTAAAGCTCATACATTTTGCAGATGGGTGAAATGAAGGACATAAATGAAGGAGAAGACTGCAGTTTTAGACTTGGCAACTGAGTAAATGGGGGCACTCTTTAAAGACAAGTGGAAATACTCCAGGAAGAGAGGAAAGATGGAGTGGGACAGATGGAATGCAATAGTTTGGGACAAATCCACAGTGTGGTTTGAGAGGCCTGTTGTTATCCAAATAGAGATGCTGAGTAGGCAGCTGGTATGCAAATCTGGAGTTCAGGGAGGAAGTTAGAGCTAGAAATAAGAATCTGGGAGTCAAATATAAAAGATGTTTAATGCCATGTATATTAGTCAGGGTTCTCCAGAGAAACAGACCTGATAGGGTGCAGAAATAGAGAGAGAAACAAATCAGCTCTCAGGAGGGCAGTGCAGGTGGCTCAGCAGTTTAGTGCCGCCTTCAGCCCAGGGTGTGATCCTAGAGACCGGGGATCAAGCCCCACATCGGGCTCCCTGCATGGAGCTTGCTTCTCTCTCTGCCTGTGTCTCTGTCTCTCATGAATAAATAAAATCTTTAAAAAAATTGGCTTTCAGGATTGTGAGGGTTGGCAAGTCCAAAACCTATAGGACAGGCCAGCAGGCTGGAAATGCACCATTCTTCATGTTGCAGTCTTGAGTCTCAAGGCAATCTCAATTCCTTCCTCTTCAGAAGACCTCAATCTTTTCTCTTAAGGCCTTCAACTGATTGAATGAAGCCCACTGGCCTTACAGAAAGTAACCTGCTTCATTCAAAGTCTACTGTCTTCAGTATTAATCACATCAAAGAATACCTTCACACAGCAACATTTACCCTGGTGTTTGGCCAAACAACATGCCACATAAAGTAACCATCACACATGGGACTAGATGAAATGACCCAGGGAATTAATTAATATAGCTAAAGAAATGAAGATGGTACAGGACTGAGCCCTAGCACAGTGCAAAGGAGGATGAGGGTCCAGCAAAGGAGCCTGAAAAGAAACTGGAGGGAGGTGGGAGGAAAACCAAGAGAATGTAGTATCTCAGAAGCTAGGGAAGAAGTGCTCTCCAGGGAGGAAGACCAACTATGCCACGTACTGCTGAGAAATACACCAAGATAAAAACTGAGTCTTGGGCATCATTGCTGATTTTTATGAAAACGAGGGAGGAAAGAAAGCCTGATTGAGGAGGTTCAACAAGAAACAGAAAAAAGGACATGGAGGTAGTGAGTATAGCTATAAAAACAGAAACGTGGGAAAGTAGATGAAGAGGGATAAAGGACCAAGGAAGGTGTTTTGTTTAGTTTTGTCTAAGAAGGAAATTATTAGAACATGTATTTATGTTGGAAAAAAAAAAAGCAATCTAGCTGAGGGAGAGTTGGCAATTTTCAAAGAGGAAAGCAATGAGAGGAGGTCGTTACAAAGTCCTCTGAACAGGCATCTACGATGCAGCATAGACTTAGTCAAACCCAGGCTCTATCTGTGATTAGACTGTCCAGATACTCAGCCTCTAGCTCCCTCATCACCTTTCTCCAAGACCTTCTGTGGTCTTTCTACCTCTCTATCTCACCCAAACCTGCCCTCTATCTCTATACCCCAGCCTTTAGCCTTTAATTACCTAACCCTGGGGCTTTGCTAACTGCCAGTGGTTCAGCAAATCTGAGTTCAAGCAAGTCTTCCTTGAGGAAGCCATCAACATGGGTCACCTCCCCCGATGAAATGCTCCTGTGTTATCATGTATTCTTTCTTTTTGCTGCTTATCACAATTGCAGCTATATTTTTACTGATGATGATTATTTGATCAATGTCAGCCTCCCTCTAGGACAGCACAGTTAACAGAATTTTCTATGATGGAAATGTTCTGTATCAGCACTGTCCAACCAGCACTGTCACTGTCCCACTAACCACATGTGGCTGTTGAGCACTTAA